AAACACATCATATTGTTAAGTGGGGTCATCCTTGAGTGAGCTGTTAGAAACACTGAGCTTCTTATGTTTGGGACGCAGCAACACAGGCGCAGTGTGGTCCCGTGATCGCCTTCTCTGGAAGAGACCGGTTTGTGAAGAGGTCTGTCCCATCCTAGAGGTGTGCTCCATGTCAGTTCTCTGTTGTTTTTAGGGGAACACATTCTGCAGGTTGATACCTCAGGTACCTCAGGCCTCTCTGCGATGGAAACTACTGGGTTTTGTGCTGGTGAGCAGCAGGTTGCAAGAGGAGGCAGCCTTGGTGGATTTTTGTGGATTTGTTTGGATAATAATGTTTGAAGTCCTTTCCACCTCACAGACATTCTGGGCTTCTTTCCTGGCATAGTGACTTCAGTTCTCAAGCTGTTTTTCAAAACCAAATAGTCCAACAAGCAAACATTTCTTGGCACTTAAGAGAGAGAAGAAGCTCAGGTTTAAGTGTTTGCATGATTATTTTCTTCTGTCTGTGGAGGAAAGCAACCTTTTCTTTCTTAAACCAAATTATTGAGACGTCTGAGATAACTTGTGACATGTCTGTAACTATGACACAGAGTCTATTTTCTACACTTGATCTTAGCCAAAGGGCGGAGAAGTGATTAAGAGTGTATATTCTATTTAGCTATTTATTATGATGTAGAATATGGTAAAAACCACTGAGTTAAATATTTTGATACATTTGTAAAAAAAAGATTTATTTATTTTTATTACAAAGATATGTATAGAGGAGGAGAGACAGAGAGGAAGATTTTCTGTCTGATGATTCATTCCCCAAGTGACCACAATGGCTGGTGCTGCACCCATTGAAAGCCAGGAGCTCTTCCGGATCTCCCATGTGGATGCAGGGTCCCAAGACTTTGGGCCATCCTCGACTGCTTTCCCAGGCCACATCAGGGAGCTGGATGGGAAGTGGAGCAGCTGGGATTAGAACCGGTGTCTACATGGGATCCTGGCACTTTTGAGGTGAGGGCTTTAGCCGCTAGGCCATGGCGCCGAGCCCTGAAAGGCTTTCTCCTATGATGTGTCATTGGTATGTAATATATATTATCAAGTATCACCTTCATGTCAGCCCCCATATTCTTATTTGAAACAAATGTTGGCAGCATTAGTTGTTAAACATGCCTTCCACTCTCTCCACAATTTAGCTTTTTTTCTTTTTGTCTTTCTTACTGGTTGTTACCAATTGTATCCACATCTGTTAGGTATCTGAGCTAGGCTTGGTGCTAGAAACGTGAACACAGGGCTGTGCGGAGGGAGAGGCTGTAGTGCAGTTAAGATCCTCTAGGTGGCAGTGTGCTGCGAGTGGAGGTGAATTGGTGCCTTGGAGTCACGCAACACTGCAGGAATAGCATTCCCATGTTGAATCAACATGTTCATGTTTTTAAATACTGCCAAATAGTTTATTAAAAAGATTGTATCGAGTTACAGTAGCAATAAATCAAAGTGACTGATCCTCCACAACTCACCAGAACCAAGTTTCACTAAGACAAAACAAACAAAAACAAAAACTTGATACCTTGTAGGTTTTAACTTTGAGCCTCATTATTGTTTTATTTGGCACTTGTTTTTATTGCTAGCGATATTGAACATTTCCCCATGTTTTTATTGTTTTATTTCCTCCTGTGAAAATTTGGGAGTTTGGGCTTTATTATAAGAAAAAAATGCTGAGGTGAGATTTACATGTTACAAATGAACTATTCTAAAATGAACAACTTAGTGGTATTTACTATACCTACAGTGTTGTGCAGCCATCACCCACATTTAGTTTGAGGACGCTCCCATCACTGCAGAGTACAGTGAGGGCATTTGTCTCGGTTTGCCCCTCCTCCTGACTCCTGGCAACTGCGAAGCTGCAGTGGTGTTAGGGACTGTATTTCATAGGCTGGAACTCTACAGCGATCGACCTAGCGTAATGTTTTGAGGGTCCATCCATACTATACTGTGAACAAGTATTTCATTCTTTTTTGTGGCTGAATAATGTTCCATTGCATGATTATATCACAGTTGGCTTACCCATCCTCCCATTCACATCATTTTGGGCTGGTTCTTCGTTTTTGGCCACTGTGAATAATACTGTTATAAACATGTATGCACATGTCTTTATTCCAGGTATTGTAGGACCAGACCTACAAGTGGTATTCCTGGACCATATGGTAGTTCTGTTTACCTTTTTGGGGAGCTGCTAGGCCATTTTCCAGACAGGCTGTACCATTTGATTTTGACAGGACAGCGTTCCTGCTTCTCCACAGCCTTCTCCATGCTTGCTGCTCCCTCTGCCCTCCCTTCCCTCCTCCTCCCTCTCCTTAGTTCCTCTCAGAATGAAGGAGTAAATGGTTAGGAAGTGAATGTTGAAAGGGGGCCAGAAAATCTGAGGAAAGGCCCTTTTGGGGAGGGGAGGTGGGGGACTGAGTTACTTACAGGTTGAGGGAAAAAAAAATAGCTCTATATGTGATTGTAGCGTTTCTCCTTTATCGGGGTAGCAGCATAATTGGGTGCTCAGTTGTGTTGGGTACCTAAGAATTTTATTTTGCTTATGTTTTTCAATTTGAGCAAGAATTTAGTGCTAATATTTTTATATTTATGCATATGTATTTGGTGGCTTCACTTATTAATACAGTATAGAGAAAAGGTAATTATCTAAAAATAGGAAATAAAGCGTTAACTTGATTTTTGATATGTACTGCATATAGTTATATTACATTTTTTGCAGGAATGGGAATGTCCAAACTTCACTGAGTTCACAGTTATATATATACTTATAGATAGATGTAATTCCGGGCTGAGAAGAGTGACAGTTAATTAAATGCTTATTACCCATTGATTTGTTATTATTCACTTATCAAATTGTGAACAAAGCTGAATTTTTTCAAATATAAACGGGTTGCTGTAACAATATTAATACATGTTCTTTAATATTCATGGTTCCTATAATATTCATGCTTAGGCATGCTGATTTGATAATGGTAAAATTTAAAACTTGTTTAGTATCTCTCCTTTGTCATTTAATCTTCAGCATTTTCTGTGCCTCTGTTCTTCACCTTCAAGCAGAAGCACACACAGGGTAACGGCAGCTGTGCTCTACCTGGCCAGCCTTAGTGACGTGGTCCGAGGGGTCAGGCTTGTAGACTGTGTGTGTTGACAAAGGTGCGTCTAGGTCGTGGGGTTGTTTTAATATGATGTTGAAAAAAGATCCATTTTTCTCTGGGAAGTTTAGGATATGAGGTAAATTTGAACACATTTTAAAAAATTAGGCTGAGTTTAGATTTTGCTGTATTTGGGCACATGCCCTTGCACGTTTGAGATTGATTTCGTTCATCTGACATACATTTGTCAGCTGTTATACACTATTTGGCTTTCATTTTAAACTGTTCAGTGTTCCCCTCCCTCCAACTTCCTGCTAAGTTTTGGAAAACAGGTTAGGGAGTTGGGGGGTTTTCAAGTGAATAGCTCAGGGTGGCAGAGCAGGGATCTCAACTCTGATCTCTTTGATGCTAAATTTCAGACTCTTAACCATGAAACCCATGGTTCCCAAACTTTGATGTGCAGCAGAATTCTCTGGAGAGCAGATATTGGTGGACTCCAGAGTCTCCAGTTTCATAGGTCTGCAGTAGAGTCCAAGAATTTATTTCTCATCAGTTCCCAGATGTTATTGTGGTCATGGGGGTTAGACTTGGAGAGCCCGCTTTTCTTGCTGTGCTGGCTGACACATGGGAGACTCCAGAAGTCACTGGCACTGTTGACTGCATACCATGTGCTAGACATCCTTCCAGGTTAATTCCATGGTACCCTCACGTGAATCTTAGAAAGTAATTGTACTGCAGGGAAAAAAATGTGGGGGTGTGATTGCCACATACAGAGAGGGATGCTGAGGTAGAGAGGGGCTCCTGTCCGTGGTCTCCCAGGGAGTCCGTGGCAGAGGCAGCTGCCTTGGTTTCTCCTAAAATCCCTCTCTCTGGGGAGGCTTCCTGCTGGGGGAAGGCCGAGAAAGGAAACCCACCCTTTCCTTCAGTGTCTTGCAGGCTTGGCAGGCTGTTGCAGATAGCCCTGGGAAAAACGGCTCTTCCTCCTCTCCAGTTGTTCTCCCAGCATTCCAAGGGCTGATGACACACTTTGTGGGAACGTCCTTGGTGTGCGTTAGCTTGGATATGAGGGGTTCCAGGAGGCTTCCTGTGTAAGAGCCCTGCCACTGTGCTGTGCTGAATTAGAAGGCTCACTGAGCCATGGTGTCACCTCATCCATGGAAAAAAAAAACCTCAAAAGTAAAAACAAAGGCAGCAGGAGGAAAAACATCCATCCAGAACCATCCAGTACTCTAGGAAACTCTGTGTTTTCACTCTTCATTTAAAAGAGGAAATAGTCTCAGAGAATGTGTGAGACAGTTTGAAAAGGTGAGATCCTAGTTTTCCACACTACTCTGTGTGTGTGATTCGTAATTGAATGTGTAATATGTTTCTACAGATGGAAGTGGGAAGCCTTTGCCTAAGAGCCCCCCACCGTTGAGAGTTAGTTAATTCCCTCAAAGTGCATCCAGATCGGCAGTGAGTGTGACCTCAGAGGTGCTGGCGTGGATTCTGGGATGCCAGCCTTTGAATCACCGACGGGTTCTCCTGGTCAGTGGGAGAGTTCTGTTGCTGCAGCGCCAGTGTCCAGGCCCAGCTGGGTGTTTTCCCTGGTGAATGTGACTTCCTTTATTTGCTATATAGATTTATCTCTCAGTCTAAGGCTATGAACTTGCAAAAATGGTGTAATGTATTATTACGACTTACCCTACTTTTAGGAATATAAAACTCTATTGTGCCTTCATCTGTTTGTTTAGGGTTTTTTTTTTAATATTTCAAATGCAGTGGTGTAAACACTGAAAACAATCAAAGTAAAACTCACTTACTTTGTGGTTAGGGTGCTGAATTTTAACCTATGTGCTTTGATGGAAAGAAAATCACTGGTGTGTTTGTTCTGGTTTGTTGTAGGTTAACGAAGCCCTTGTCCTTTGCTGATTGTGTTGGGGATGAGCTGCCGTGGGGATGGGAAGCAGGGTTTGACCCTCAGATTGGTGTCTACTACATCGATCACATCAACAGTAAGTTTTCCTTTTCGACGAAAGCTAACATAGCAGAAAAGCAGTCCTTGGAAACCTTGGGTCATACCCAAGGCTGAACATTTCAGAGTGGATTTCCTTATTTTTAAACCCCATTTTCTTAGTGACTCATATGTCACAGAAATGCCCATTTAGGTGTTTGGGGCATGCCTGCTGAAGTACGCCTAGGAGGGCAAGAGGAAGGAGGGGTGATTTGCCCGCCTGCCTGTCTGTGCCCCTCCTCTTGTGTGCCGACTGGGGAGTGAGCTTTGGCGTTCACAGCAGGTCTGAGGGCTCGTGGAGATAAAGAGCTTCTGAGCAACTCTGCTGCCAGTGCTTCCACCTCCCCTTGCCAGGGACGGAGCTGGGCATTGCCCCTGCATGGTGTAAAACCATGGCGGCTTGGGGTTGGCGTGGGATGGGGGAGGGTGGGCACCCATCCGCGACCCTAGAAGACAGCAGTGCTGTGGAAAAGGCCCAAGCCTCTTCTTTCTGTGTCTTGCTTTCCTTGTAGTTGGGAGGAATCAACTCATTTGAACAGCTTTTAAATGTGTCATGGCCCTGACATGGTAAAGCTTGGGCAGAGGATTGCTACAGCCATGAACAACTTGACACACATGGGGGTGTGTGTATTGACATAAATACTTAGCTCCCTGTATACTCCATTAAAATTTTATTCAGATGGTAGCAAATAATCACTACTCTTTGTGTTACTTATTTCATTTACAAATGATTTTAATGTATTTTAGAGAATATATTATGGATTTCTTACAACCATTCTTTTTTTTTTGCCTTACTGACCTTTTTTCTCATGGTCCATTTCCATAGGGGCAGGGACTTTCCCCTTCCACCCTCTCTATTTTCCCATTCCCCCTCCCCCTCCACTGTTTTCCCCTATGTTATTACAATAGTATAGTCCTACAACAACAGTCATAAATCCATCATTCTGTTGTTTAAGTGTATCCTGACATTGTAGGTATTGACAATGGTAGAAAGTCCAGCACCCTATTGTCAAGATGTATTTAACAGTTTCATTGGGAATTCATCTTTTATTTGGGAGTGAGATGCATACTGAAATATATCTTCACTTCACAATATGATAGCTTCCATTATACAGTTCCTGTAGATGAACATATGTACATGCATGTTTTGCTGTATATAGAGAGAGCTTATATTTTGCATGAAGGTTGCCTTACGTTAGAGAAAACATATGATATTTGTCCTTTTTGGACTGGCTTATAAGCATACTGGTCCCTAGAACTCTTCTTATATTAAAAGTCTTAATTAGGGGCTGGTGGCATGGAGCATTAATCTGTTCTTTGTGAGTTGGGCCTCCCATGTTAGAACTCTGCTTCCAGTCCTGGCTGCTCTACTTCTGATCCAGTTTCCTGCTAGTGTACCCAGAAGGCAGTGGATGGTGGGCTCAGCACTTGTCCAGCTGCCATCTGTGCGGGAGATCCTTATGGAATTTTGACCCAGGCCTGGCTGTTGTCTCTATTCAGGGAGTGAACCAGAGAATGGGAGGACGGGGGAAGGATTTCTCCTTCCCAGCCACATTGTCTCGCCTTTTACCTTCCAAATAAATGAGCAGATAATGAATTGTTAAAGAGTTTGATTTAGAATTCTTAAATTTCTTTAAATGGTAAATATCTCTATGGTAAAAGTGCATTATTTGATATTCATTTGTTAGTAGTGGATTGCAGCTGTCCTTGTGCAGGTAAATGATATTCATTTGGAGAGCTTAAAGCAGACTATATCAAAAGTAGTGATTTCTGGGCCTGGCGTGGTGGTCTGGCAGCTAAGGTTCTTCCCTTGAATACACCGGGATCCCATATGGGCTCTGGTTCTAATCCCAGTGGTCCCACTTCCCATTCAGCTCCCTGCTTGTGGCCTGGGAGAGCAGTTGAGGACGGCCCAAGACCTTAGGACTCTGCACCTATGTCGGAGACCTGGGAGCAGCTCCTGGCTCCTGGCTTCAGATTGGCTCGGCTCCAGCCATTGCGGTCACTTGAGGAGTAAGTCATTGGACAGAGGATCTTCCTCTCTGTCTCCTCCTCTCCATATATCTGGCTTTGCAATTAAAAAATAAATAAATCTTTAAAAAAAAGCAGTGATTTCTTAGAGGTAGGTGCGATGGAGGAGTAGAAAGCTGCAAGCACTTGAGATTTTAAGTCAGTTTTTTGGTAACTAGACAGTTGACAGTCTGGTAGGGGAACATTTGTTGTACACAATTTGAAAGACAGCTTTCATGCACACTTGTTTTAGCATAAATCTAAAGAACAATTCTTAGAATTGGTACATTAACCTCTGTTATGGCATTATAAGAAATGTGACTTTTAGTGTTTTTAAAAGATTTACTTATTTTTATTGGAAAGTCAGATTTACAGAGACAAAGAGAATCAAGGAGAAAAATCTTCTGTCCACTGGTTCACTCCCCAAACAGTTGAAGCAGGCAGAGCTGAGCCAATCCGAAGCCAGGAGCCAGGAACTTCCTCCGGGTCTTCCACACAGGTGCAGGGTCCCAAAGCTTTCGGCCGTCCTCAACTGCCTTCCCAGACCACAAGCAGGGAGCTGGATGGGAAGTAAAGCACACATGGAATGCTAGCACTTGCAGGTGAAAGATTAGCCAGTTGAGCCATGGCCCTAAACCCCCAAATGTGATTTTGTACAAGCATTTTTTCCTCCCTGAAAATTTCTAAAAATTCTGAAGAAAATTATGATTCTGTGTCTTAAGTGATTTTACATTGTATTTCCTAATACAGTTTCTTCCACAATGTGTAATAGATACCAGGTGTTACTGCTTATCAGTGACTGACCACCAGTTATAATCTGTAGGGTAGAAGAGTTTAATTTCGATAAAATTCAGTTCATTTTATATTGTTATAATCCATTCTTATGTTATTGCATGTAAGTAATTCAATGGGGGTATTCGAAATGTTTGACTGCTTAGACCTCATGTCCATGCTTATTTTAGGTGGATAGAATTTTTACTTGTTTTCTTTAACGCAGTGTTTGGGAAACCAGCCAGCTATTTTGGTTCATTAGATAGAAGCTCTCATGGCACCCAAATGGGAAGAAGCGCTTTCCCGGCTCCCTTCCCACCTCCCGCACACTCCCCGTCTCCTGCACACTCCTCACCTCCCACACACTCCCCACCTCCCGCACACTCCTCACCTCCCGCACACTCCCCGTCTCCCGCACACTCCTCACCTCCCGCACACTTCCCGTCTCCCGCACACTTCCCGTCTCCCGCACACTCCCCATCTCCCGCACACTCCTCACCTCCGGCACACTCCTCACCTCCCGCACACTCCCCACCTCACGCACACTTCCCATCTCCTGCACACTCCCACCTCCCGCACACTCTCCATCTCCCACACACTCCCCATCTCCTGCACACTCCCATCTCCTGCACACTCCCGTCTCCTGCACACTCCCCACCTCACGCACACTTCCCGTCTCCCGCACACTCCCGTCTCCCGCACACTCCCCATCTCCCGCACACTCTCCATCTCCCACACACTCCCCATCTCCTGCACACTCCCATCTCCTGCACACTCCCGTCTCCTGCACACTCCCGTCTCCCGCACACTCCCCATCTCCCGCACACTCTCCATCTCCCACACACTCCCCATCTCCTGCACACTCTCCATCTCCCACACACTCCCCATCTCCTGCACACTCCCACCTCATGCACACTTCCCGTCTCCCGCACACTCCCGTCTCCCACACACTCCCGCACTTCCTGCACACTCTCCATCTCCCACACACTCCCCATCTCCCGCACACTCTCCATCTCCCGCACACTCCCCATCTCCCACACACTCCCATCTCCCGCACACTCCCCATCTCCTGCACACTCCCATCTCCTGCACACTTCCCACGCACTCCCTGATCCTTCAGCCTTCTGCAGAGCCTTCTTGTTCTCAGTGAAGAGGCATCCCCAGCTCTACTCCCTGTTAGTAACGTTGATGTCCCAGCCTTCCCTTCTGTTTGCAATCTTTACATTAGTTCCTGGTTTTAGAGATTTCTCCTGACATTTCTGTTCTTAATTTTTAATCAATAAAAACTCTAATTGTGGTTAAAACAAGACTGCACAAGGAAAACTGAGCAGATATCAGTGAACTTCCGCCTCCACTGTTCTGCAGCCCTACCTGCTGTGGTCCTTTCTTCTTCCCTTCACAGCTGGACCCAGGAAACCCAGGATCCACACTGACTTCCTTTCCCCGATTAGTCTGCCTTGTTTGACCAATGCTACTTTTTCTGGGGCACCCAACTGTCCAGGCTCAGTTGCCTCCCAACCACACTGTATCTTGTTTTCCTTGATGTGTCACTCTGGGCCCATCTTTCCTGCTCTTGGCTGTCTTGGACTGCACCATTCAACATTTTTCCTGCGGGCTGCACTGCTGCCCCTAACTGTCAGAGCTGCTCTTAGGTCCTCTGCTGTCTGCCATGTAGCACTCCTTAGGGGTGACTTCAGTGCTGGCCTCAGGATGGTGGCTGCTGTGTTTGTCTCTTGTGTCTTTTCCAGACACCCAGATGCGTTTGTGTGAATCCTTACTGTACATAAGGTGCTTCCAAGTCTGCCCCTCTGGCCTTTCCATTTGCATTTCTTGCCTTGCCCTGGTGTACAGGGCCGCTGGGCAATGACCTACACTTCCTTTGCTGTCTGCTTTTGTCTGCATCTGTTGGTCCTGTCCCCAGTGCCGTCTGCCTGGTCCGCCTGGTCCATAAGAGCCTCTGTGTGGACCACCCACCACCTCCTCTGGAGTGGCTCCGTTCAGGAGCCACTGCTTCTCAGAGGCTTTCTCTGATGGCCCCTTCTCCAGCTCACAGGTCCCTACCCCATGCCTCCTCCCAGTGTTTCTGCAGTGTCAGGTTTGTAAGGGTTTGTAGAAGCATCCTCTGATATTTAACATGTTTGTTTGTATGTTTGCCTCTAAATTCTGAGCTGCATGAGGGCAGTGACTGCATCTTGTATGTCTTTATCCTTGGATTCCAAT